CACAGCCATATACAATTTTAGGAGAGAATACGTAGGTGGGGGTGAAGGGGAGGCCTTTGTAACCCTTCTGGAGGAAGACTGAAAGGATGAGCTCTACTGAATTGTGGAAATGAGTCCTGGAGGAGAATGCTTGCCCACCTCCAGCAAAACAAGGAGCCCACTTGCTATTTAACACAACTACTGCCATTCCTTAAATTAAAAATGCCCATTTGCGTTGTATCAGATTTTTGGAGCCCAGAACGCACTTCCCCATAGAAAGCACATGGTCCGTGGGGATTAAGTTCACAGGCCAGTCCATAAGACCCATTACACGCCGGAGCTAACTCACAATGCTGCCAATCTATCACATATAACAGATTTTTCCATAGAGAACTTCAGCCTGGGCTCTAACGTGGAATACCGAGAGCACATTTTCCCCCAACACCAGTTCGAACCCTGAGTCCGACTCCCATCCGTCCAACTCTCCACTCCGGAGCCAGGTCTGATGCCTTTTCAGCGACAGCCCTGGGTGTGCGCTAGAGGCCAAGTGCTGGGTGAGTGTTAAGGAACTGAGGCAGGATGGTGACAGCAAGATAGGCACACCAGGAGGCTGGGGTGCAGCAAGGCAGGTAGGAACTCGGCTTTGGGGGTCCCGCAGGTTGAGCATGAGGGTGGGGATGTGATAGAAGGTGTTGCTGTTCAGAGACATGAGCCTTCTATAAGCCAGCTGATTGTGTGCCAGGCACCATCGATACTGATTTTCCAGCCCGCTCCTGTCCCACAACAAATCAGCACAGCTCTCGCCTGTTACCATCCCGGGGCCTCTCTCGGCATGAACGTGCCACCTGCATCTCCCAATAAGCTCTTTATGGTGTGATCAGGCATAGACTAGACTTTGCTCCTGCTCCTCTGAAATCCATTCTGTGCACAGTGGCCAAACTAGGCTTTCTGAAATGCAAATCTGGTTAGATCATCCCCCTTTGCGCAATCCTCCATGGTTTCCCAACCGTCTCAACATCAAGGTGAGAATCTGAACTCAGGCCTACCAGGCTGCTCCCCGCATAAGCCGCCACCTCCCCACCCTGGCTGGACACTCGCCGGCTCTGCCTGCCTTTTATGCGTCATTTTCCAAGGGGGGCTTCCCCTGACCTTTCATCCGGATCTAGCACTGACCATCGGCTCGCCTAACTCCTAGATGTCCTTTGCGGGGCGCTGCCCCAGCTGTCGTTACCTACACGCAGGTACAATCCGCTCAGCCTGTTGGATGAGTCCAATAAAGATGCCCACGGAGCGCATCTAGCACAGGGTCTTCCCTGTGAAGGGAAGGACACGCTCACGACGTGATCCCAGAAGGAGCCTCTGCACCACACGTTTTTACCTTTTCTGTTATAAAGCATGGTACTCTCCAATTGGAAGGGGCCTTCGCTGGGCTTTGACCATGTGACAGGAAGTGTCTGTTTAGAGGGCAGGGCGGGTTAGCTTGGTGGCAGAGAGAATGGGAGGTTCTAGGCCAGCATGCCCTGGGTCTGAAGCTCTTCACTAATGTGATATTGGGGGAGCAGGAGAACTTCTCCATGTCTGTTTCCTTAACTGCACAAAAAAAAAAAAAAAAAAAAAAAGGACGGAAACCACAGTAGGAGTCCCTACTGCCTGGGACACTGCGACGACCGAGTTACGACCTGTCGCATGTTTAGGGTGGTGCCTGGTGCCTGCGAAGGATGCGAAAGACACGGACTATTCTTCTTCTGTATTCCTAAAGCTATGAAAACTGGGTATTGTGTTATGATGTTATTATTCCCCCTTGTTAAGTGAGGAAACTAGATCCATAAAAAAAGACTTTAATAACTTAAATTCTTCATATCACTTTTGCATGCTGGAAAAAAAAAAACCTAAAAAGGAGGAAAGAAATGAATGTTCTCATGTTTTGAGAGTGGAGACTTGGAGGAGGTTGGGGCTTGGCCACACGAAGAGAAGAGGGCATGGAGAGCGGGGAGGTGTGGAAGCAGGCCCAGGCCCAGGACCCAGCCCCCCCTCGCGTGCACAGACACGACAAAATAGCGGGTCCCCCAGAAGCCGGGAGTGGGGGGAGCAGAGTGGCTCTCTGCAGGATGAGGAGGGGAGACGGGGAGTCCATGGAGCCTGGCTCCGAGCAGCACCCCAGCACCCCGGCTGCGGGAGGAAGTCGCTCTGCCAGGTTCTCCAACAGCATCATGTCCACCAACTGAATTCACTTGAATTAAAGAAAAAAAAAAAGAATATGCCACGTGAGAGGACGCAGATGCCAAAGACACCAAAAGCAAAACACAAATCAAGCAAAAGGTTGTCAACCACTAATGGACAACCATCCTGGAGAGGGGATTCCTAGGCAGACTTTGTAGAAGACACCTAGCAAGGACAGGGACTCCGGCCGCCGCTGACCACGCTCCCAGACCAGAGGCGACCCGCACCCACCGTCAGAAGGCCATGTGTGGATAGGGGCATCGTCACAAGGTAAAATACTCTCGAGAAACAAGGTGGATGGACGCCCCACCTGTGCTCCTGGAGGGCGGGGGGCTCACACATCCAGCCTCGGGGCAAGGAAAACCAAAACGGACAGCACAGCCCCGCGACATCGGTCCTCAAGTTCAAAGCCAGTTCACTCACGTCTACACCGAGGGGCAGGTGTGAGGCCCGTGTGACCCCGGGGAGGGAACGGCCGCACCGACCGTGGGTCATACTCCAGGCCCCCCTGGGCACCCTCACCTGCCGGCTGGGGCAGGGCCATCCTGGGTCAGCGGACAGCACCAGGCCGGGGCCACGGGAAGCCAGGGGAGCCCTGGCCGGGTTGCCTCCCAGGTCTCCCGCCTCTTCCTCCGGCCCTGTCACGGGGTCCTGGCATCCTCTCCCGCTCCGGTGAGCCCTGCAGCCTGCAGCACGGTGGGGGCGGCGGGCGGGGACCCGGGGACCCTGAGGTCGTGGGGGGCGCGGAGCTGGGAGCCGCGCTGGGGGGGCCCAGGGCCCTTGGGGATGGACGCCCTCACTCCTGCAGCCCAGGGCTCTCTGCTCTGGCCACTGCCCCCGCCCCTCCTCCCTGCTCCCTTTCCTCCCTGCTCCCCTCCTCCCCACTACACCCTCCTCCCCGCTCCCCCTCCTCCCTGCTCACCCTCCTCCTTGCTCACCCCCTCCTCCCCACTCTCCCTCCTCCCCGTGCCCCCCTCCTCCCCACTTCCCCTCCTCCCCGCTCCCCCCACGCCCCCCTCCTCTCCCTCACTCCCTCCTCCCCACTCACCCCCTCCTCCTCACTCACCCCCTCCTCGCCACTCCTCCTCCTCCCCGCTCCCTCCTCCTCTCCAGTCACACTCCCTCCTCCCAGCTCACCCCATGCCCCCCTCCTTGCTCTCACCCCCTCTTCCCCACTTGCCCGCCTCCCCCTGCCCCTCCTCCTCCACCCTGCTCACCCCCACCCCCACCGTCTGGTGCACATCCCCACAGGGGGCTTCCTGACCCTCAGGAGCACTTGAAGGTCATCCCTGGTCCTATTGCGGCTCCTCAGGACACCATCATTCCTATTCCTCCTGGGCTCCACTCTCTCCCACCCTTCTCCTGCTCCTTAGACTCCCACTGGGGTGCTCCTCCCCAGGCCCACAGATCCGGGGAGAGGGGAAGGCCAGCAGAGGGCAGCAGGTTGGGTTTCCCCAGGGAGGCGTGTGACCCGGGCAGGTGGGACAGACTTGTCCCTGGGTGCGAGTTTCCTCATCTGCACATGGGGCTGGATGACCCCCCAGAAACCCAAATGTTGTGCCAGAGGCGGTGCCACAGGGACGCAAGGAAGAGGCTGCCCCGGCTCTTGCCCGCCTGTGATAACCGTCCGTCCCACCTCACTGCTGGAGGCACGCACACTCGGATGGACGGACGGACAGATAAATGGGGGGGGGGATAAAACAGTAACGCTGTTCAGCAGAGAGCCCAACAGAAGTCTGTTGGGGAGACCCAATCTCAAGGTCGCTGTCCCTGAACTACTTTCACTGCTGCCGCTGGTTGGTCGAAGTGGCAGGTGCTCCCTGCTCCCCGAGGTGGCAGGTGCTCCCTGCTCCCCGTCTGTCCTCTGGGAGTGAAAGAAGGAAGCACCTTCAGGCTGGTTTTCCTTGGGCCGCCGCGAGGGTCCGCGCGACTGCTGGTTCCTGTTTGCGGTGACCGCTGCCTTAGGCAGATGAACAGAGGCCACGAGGCCCGGGCTTGGGGGGGGGGGGGGGCTGCAGGCCAGGCGCCCTCAGCGGCCGCACCTGCCGTGGGTGGAGCCCCCGTCCCCCCCCCCCAGGAGCTGGCGGGCCTGGCCCACCCCGGCAGCTTCCCAGCATTTTGAGAACGAGGGAGAAATCGCTGGTCCGCTTTCTCCAGGAGAGACTAAGTCCAGCCCGAGGTGACCGGCCCGACGGCAGAGTGGCCAGGGGCTGTTCGGGTTTTCCTCCCCTTTCTGGAAACATCAGCAGAGGCGGGAGGCCGGCACGGCCCTGGGCCTGGGGCTGGGTGGCCAGTGCGGAGCTATGTCCCCGCAGAGCCCTGGGACCCGGGTCCACAGCGCGCGGCCCCGAGGGCCACCTCGCCTGGCACGACAGACGAAGGGGCCTTGGCTCGCAGGCAGCATGACATGCTTTGTTCCCCTTTGGCCAAATCAGTTCTGCAAACCAGATACCAGAGGCTGCAGGCTCAGGAGAGCCGGCCTTTCTGGAACACCATTTCACCATTTGTTTGGACAGGCCGGGCCAGTAGGGCTTTTCATCTCTGTAAACCTCTTGGGGGGGGGGAGCATATTTGAGGAATTCCTTTTTTTCAAAGATTTTTTTTTTCTTTGCCCCTTCCAACATTTTGTTTAAGAGAAAATGAGATGTCTATCTTCTGTTTCCTTATTTTTTTTCAGGAAAGCAAAGGGTTGTTGACTTCCTCCCTCTCCCCTCCCTTCCTTCCTTCTTCCCGAAGGTACTCATCTGAGAAAAAGAGAACGAAGTATTGTTCCTGTTCTCCTTCTTAAGTCATTTGAAACATTGTCCCCGCGAGTTCTTTAAGTTCCCTGCAATCTGTACACGAGAGAAAGAGGGAGAGAGAGAGAGGGAGAGAGACAGAGAGCCAGGGATCAGGTAAAGCACTGGGGCTGCAGCCATTCAAACTCAGGAGCTGGTAAGTCACCCATGCAATCGTTTGTCCTTCCATTTCAATGTCCCTGGGATGGATACCACCGTGGGCGCCTCCAGCAGAAAACACCTGGCCGGGTGTGATCCTTAATCAAAGGGGAGGACTGATGGATGGCCCAGAATTTAAGCTTATACTTTTTTTTTTTTTTAAGAGAATACTGTTGCTTTGTAGAGCTGAGGCTGAGAGAACTGGAAATAAAATTGCACTGGGGGCTAAGGAGGACAGGTCGTTAAATGTGATTTTTTGGTGCAGATAACGCAGCTGGGTGGACCAGAAGCCACTGAAGTGTGCGATGCGTCTCGCTGGAGGACTCAGGCTTCCTCAGTGCTGGGTCCTGGGAAACTTAGGAGGGTGTCTGCTAAGAACTGTGGTTTGCTCTAGGGCTTTTGTTATGTGTTGTCTAGATTGAGGGTGGCCTTCTCTTGTTCTTTTCTTCCCATTCAAGGCCACCCCCACCCCCAGAAAAAAGAATGTTGATTTATAACTGTTATTCTGCATCACTGAGGCTGGAGGAGAAGGAAAAGAAAGTCAGTGCGAATCGTACTGCACGGGGGTGCTTCTGTGTTCAGGGGCCACACGTGGATGGAGTGTGGATGTAGTACCCACTGTCAGTGGAAGATGTCATCTGCCCTACAAACTGAAGGCAAAGATTTGGGGGGCTTAGAGCATTAGTTTTGGGAAAGAACACGTGACTGGAATAGGATTAAAACAGATCTCTTCTGACAGTAGGAGCGAGAAACTAAGCTACCGACGCAATTGAGAAGTGCGCACCCGGCACCTGGTTTTCCAAGCACCAAATAGAACACAGCAGACTGGTCAAGCTTACACACACAACTAGTTTTTAAAAGTCAGACTTGCTTCAGTTGAATTTGTCAGAAAGGATGATGTTAACAAGAACCCATCGTGGCAAGCCACCAGGGAGCAAGGGTATGTTGTCAAAGCTAGGACAGCGAGGCCACTCGGAAAGAGTGTGTGTATTTACTAATAGCAAGCACTTAATTCAGGGAGGTGTTGAATGGGTGAAAGACACGGATCATGCAGGTTTTAAAGTATTCATTTCTATGAAATTTAGGGAGACAAGGAACCTGGGAAGTGAGTAGTATGATTAAAAAAAAAAAAAAACAAGCAACCGGTCTCTCATTTATAAATTAATTTGGCCAGACTGCCTATTAACCACAATCAAGTAATTAGTCTTTACTCAAAACTGAGCCATCATCTTAATAAGACTGAGAAAATATGCTACAGGCAGGCTGTAATGTCAGTTTTGTTTCTTTAGTCAGACTTCTTCTTTCGTCTTCTTTTTTCAAGAGGCTTTCCTAATGAGCACTGTAAAATGAGCATTGTGAGAGAGACGTGATTAAGCATTTGCCTCCTTGAGGATATGAAATTATTCTAGTAAGGCTTGGAAGTGCTCTCCAGCCCTCCCATCTCTTATCCTAGCCTCCTCGTTTCACGGATCTTCAGGTCAAAAGGTAGCCAGGACTGACCAACTTGGGCATTTTGCATCTTTTATCAGCAACTGTGACAAGGGTAGAAAACTCTGGGTTGCGATCTTGACTTGCTTCTTTCGGTTTCATTTCTTTCTTGACAACATATTTGATTTTGTGCTCGATTAAAGCAACAGCATAGAATGCTCTGTGGTTTTGGTTATTGAACAAAATCATCAGATGCAATACAGTATGACAAAAAAAATGACAACAGGGTCACACGGTCTAAAGACGAGCAGGACAAAAGGTGGGTATGATGACAATGGTGCAGCAACCAGCCACACTTCTAGCACGCGTGTTCACTGTGGTCTGAGATTAAGGAGCCTAGGATATGTTCTCTTCTTTAAAAGAAAAAAATATATATTATTTCCCCTTGAGTTGTTAAGCATTTGCAATGAGAGTATTTGTTTGATGCTGAGGCGAAACACTTCAGCCACCTAAAGAAAAAAGCCATTGACTCATTTAGTCTAGTTGCTACCAATCTGTCTCCACTCAACTCCAAGGAGTTGGCATTTGTGGAAACTTCCACTGTGTGACTCTTCTTCGGGGTCATCCGAGGCTCTTTTGTGATATCATCAGGGGAACTCCAGCTTGGAATGATTCAAAATTTGATGCAGAGGTTTTCATTAATGCATGCCCAGACTGTGCGTCTAATCCACAAATTTGTCGAGTAAATGTTAAATTATATTAGGACGTGTCCTGTAGGCCTTTGTGCTGGGATGCGAATCGAATGAGAGTAAGCAGAGCATCGAATGTGTAGACTTTGTTGTCCTACGAATTTGGGTTTGATTCCAGCTTTGTCACTTGCTGACTATGGGGCTTGGGACAGCTTGTTCACCCCCCTAAGCCGCATCTTCCTCAAGCATAAACCTGCACCCACGTCACAGACCGGGGAGGCTTCAGTAGGATTATGTTATGTAATGCCACCAACCGGGGCGCTTACGGGCAATGCGGACAATGCATGGCAAGGGGCAGGAGTCAATCAGTGTCGGCTGTAATTTTTTTTAAGTCGTACGTCACTTAAGGGCACTGTCTAGTTTTCAACGTCCAGAAGAGAGTACACCTTCCGCAATGCATGTCATTATATTCGGTCAATACTGTGCCAAGGTCTATCAGAGCAAAACCGTTCCTCGGGGCTTGAGAATCGGGCACACGTTGAGTTAAGGTATCCTGAACCCCAAATTCTTGTAAAATCAAGGAAGGCAGAGTTGAATGTTTTGACGTTCATCTCCGCTCATGGCAGAAACATCAGGTTCAGCCTCATTAAAATGCCAGCTGTGTCCCACGAGCTCAGCGCAGGGGAAAGGTTGCCTTGGAATAAAAGTTTTCAGCCTCGGTCCGTGTTCGAAGAGGCTGCAATTCCACTGTAGATGTTTCTCTCTCCCTCTGACCTACTTCCCCAAACTGTTGCGCTCTGTGTCGTTGGTGACCTTTCCCCTGGCCGTGGAGGGCCGGAGACACGTTCTCTGGAGACCATCGTGGCAATTCCGTGACTCAGCCACACAGAAAGGGCTTGAAATGACACGCTGTCTCCCTACCGAGGGCGGTGTACTCCGTGATCTCTCTCCCTGAACATTTTCGTAAAGAGCCACTTAGCTTCACAAGGATAATAAGAACGTCATTATCACGGTGGTGTGTGTGTGGCTGGAGGTGGGTGGGTGGGGGTGTGGCTCCTCCAACTGCTGTTTTTCTCTCACCCTAAACTTTACAACGTACGTGCTGATTAATCCGTCAAGTAATAATGATACTTCAGCCTAGATCTTGGTTAAACTTCCCTCTCTACTTTCCCGAAGAAAACGTACAACCGCAACAACGACCAGAAGTCTCACTAATAACGGGAGACTCGAGGTTCTTTTGTTGGAATCAGAGTTTCTAACACAATAAAGGCTTGTTAGAAAACCTAATCTTTGGAGACCACGTTGAAGTAGGGTTGTTCTACACTAATGTGTGAAAGGTGTCTTCTAACGTGGCTTTAGTGCAGTAGGACAAAGAGCAGGCTAGGACTCCGTGCTCTCTTCTCGTCTGACCTCTTCCATCCCCTACACACGTGACCTGAAAGGTTTCTTCACTCGCTTGGACTCCAGATTTCTTGTCTACAAAAGGATAGAGAGTCAGACCAAATTGGTAATTCTCAGGGTGGTCTCTGTGTGTTCGGTGCGCATCAAAATTCACCTGGGAGCTTGTGTACCCTCCCCTCCCCTCTGCCCCGGATGACCTATGAGATCCAGATACTGACATCCTATGAGCCTCTAAAACAAGGGGTAAGCGTCCTGTTCTGTTTCCCTGAGGATGGCACTGACATTAAATAAAAATGTAAAGGCCATGCTTCTAAGTGGAATTTCTATTCAGCGTTGGATATTCTCTGTAGAAATCAGTTTTGAATTTATCAATCATTATTCTAGAAGCTCTTAGTGTTCTAAAGTAAGAAATACGCTAGCCAGTCAAGCAATCTGATGATACTCGTCCGTGTTCTATAACCATACATAAATCATAAAAAGAGCAATTACTTAGGCACATCAATACCATAATGCTGCATGCATAGCACTTTTTGATTTTATGCATTTCTATATTTTTTTCATCTTATAGTGAGCATGCATTGTTTATTTAGTCAAGAAAAACAGGTACTAGGGCACCTGGGTGGCTCGTTCGGTTAAGCGTCTGCATTCAGCTTGGGTCATGATCTCAGGGTCCTGCAATCGAGCCCTCCATCGGGCTCTCTGCTCAGCAGGGAGTCTGCTTCTCCCTCTGCCCTTCCCCTCGTTCATGCTCTCTTTCTCTCTCAGGTAAATAAATAAAATCTTAAAAAAAAGAAAAACAGATGCCAACTTTTTCTATTCAAGTTTTAAAAATTATTGCTACTCTCATAAGGTTTTTGTTTTTATACTTCTACAGTGTATGCTTGCTGAGCCTATTAAAATAGCCTATTAAAATAGGCTTTAGACATTTAGAGCCTTGTCCCTAAATTAATGGTGACATGGAAAGGCAAAAGAATGACAATGGTGTTTGAAAAACCAGCACTCATGAGCCATGTTCCATCTGCTTTAATTATAAGAAAAATCTGCAACTTAAAGAAAAAGTTGTTCTGATTTCCCTGAGTTTGTTTCTACCTAAATCAGTGAATTTTCTTCTCATATGTTTATACTGAATTAAGTAGAGAAGCAATGGATGCGGGTCTCCATCCAAGGTGAACAGAGAGACAACAAATATTTTGATGTGCGCTCCTGGAAACAGCTAGCCTAATAATGGCTGCTCTTTTTTGACTATTCAAATACCAAATACTTTTAGATAAAAACCAAGGCATTTAGATAAAAGGATAAGAACGCGTCTTCAACAGGAGATATGCGTTAACAAATGAGTTCACTAGAAAATAGGCGCCATGAGGACAGGGCCCTCATTTGTTCACTGCCATGTGCTCAGGGCCTAGAATAGCACATGCCATATAGTAGACGCACAATAAATACTTGCTGAATAGATAATACGTAATGGGGCAATAGAGTG